CCACCACCCGACCCCCCTCACCCTAGAGGCGGCAACTTGAGGAACATCTGTTCTTCTGCTTGCATCAAAGAAAAGAGCTGACATCGTAAACGCCTCCCAGCCTGGCGGACGGATCCTTTACGACATACTATTGTCCCTGCCGTGCACACACACGCACACGCATCTCCTACATACATGCGCACATGTACATGCAACTCTCACAATCACAGTCTCACACACACACACACACACACACACACACACACAGTCACACAAATTTGGTCAGACTGCACGGACTTCTGCACAATCTCTGAGCTGTCCTCCTTGTCACTTGGAAAATGTTCAACTCTTGCCACCTGAGCAGGCCCACATGAGCACCAGCCGGCTTCTTCTCGCCTCGTCCAGCCTACACGGACATTTCAAAACAATCCTCATCTCACAAAATACAAACAAGATTCACACTCAGCCCAATTCACACACACACGCACACATTGATTTCTACTTTTGTCTTCTGTTGTCATGACAGAGACCACCCCTGGTCCCTCCCCTCACCCCCCCTTATCTGTTTATTTTTACACTTATCAGCTGTCTGTCCGTCTGTCCTTTCCTTCATCAGTCGCCTGGCCGGCGATAGACGGGCTATAAATAGAAACACACAAAATGGAGGATGGGGACGCTGCTTCAAGCGTTTGGAGCTTTGGGGTGCATTCCATTTCTCTGGTTACACTTGACTGAGCGCTCTGACCCAACATGGCTGGTACAGGAGATGAGGGGCCAAGGGGCACGCTTACTTTAGCCGCTAACCTGTTTTTAGCAACGTTAGAAGACAACGAACAAGCCAGGGAATGACATAAACTCATCGCTCAAAGGAAATATTTTCTGAAGCCTGTTTCGATCTTAATTTTCAGTTTTATCATTACACTGGGCCAAAACTGGTTTTGGGCTGCTGAATCCGAAAATTACAACTGTTTGTGTGTGTGTGTGTGTGTGTGCGTGTGTGTGTGTAGGCTGAGATTTTCAGAGACGCTTTAATCCACAGAGTGCTTAGTGTTTTGTGTAATGACCTTTGACCCTGACCTGATAGGTGATGGTCTCACAGGTTCTGAGTGTGACCTTTGACTCTCACACAAAGCACACACATTCCGCAGCCAAGGTCAACCAAGGGCAACATCCTGGTGTTGCCAAGGTAACACGGCTACAACGTTCATCCAAAATCTCTCTCTCTCTGTCTCTCTCTCTCTCTCACACACACACACACACACACACACACACACAATCACACACAGACATGTAAACGCACAGGCAGCCACCAACACTCACACCCACAAACACACACATGGAGACACGCGCAGACACTTTTTCCATTGTTTCCACAAAGCAATAGTCATCATCTATGCTAGCGAGTCCTGACCTGCGGAATATTTCTTCTTCACTCACTCCTTCATCCCCCATGCATGTGTGCGTGTGTATGTGTGTGTGTGTGTGTGTGTGTGTGTGTGTGTGTGTGTGTGTGTGTGTGTGTGTGTGTGTTGTGTGCGCATACGTGCGTGCTTGCTAAACCCCCAACAGTCTGTCAGATTAATGGAGCGCTGCCTTTTGTGTGAATGCTCAGGAATGTTCTCCACTTTCTAACACACACGCATACGCACACACACGTGCGCACGCTCCTTGTGAAAACAAAGAGGACAAGAGAGACAAAGAGTGGCAGGAAGTGAAGAAGAAGAGGGAGAATGAAACAAGTAAATAATCAAGTGAGAGCAAGCGCGCTGATGAGCAGGGTGCTCATGAATACGAACGAATGGAGTAGCAGATTAGCATAACACAATGCTAATATAGATTAGCATAACACAATGCATGCACATCTGCTACAGCTGTACCTTCTGGAAGCTCCTCCATCTTCAAACACACACACACACACACACACACACACACACACACACACACACACAGGTCTGGGGGGTGGGGGGTTGGGCCATGAGACCATCCATCATTGAGTCATATGACCTGCTTTCTCCAAGTAGCAATAAGTGGAGCATGCTGGGTACTATTTCAGTTATGGACCTTTGTCATTACTTTGTAAACAATAGGGGTCGGAGTCACCTTTCCCATTTACCGAGGTGTGCAGGCCTGGCTCTTATCTGATTCCATGAGTCTTTCAAGCCTTCCTTATTCTCACCTGCAGGGTTTCCCCGTGATTTCCAAACAAGGCATCACTCCTTCATCACCTGGAGAGTTTCCCTCTTACCTCTCCCAATCTGATTGCGAGTAATCCTCCTGGGTTGCACCGCTCCGAAACTCCCTTTGCCTACCTCAGACATGATGTGACCGAACATGTTCAGCTTGGCAGTTATGATGCCTTAAAGGTGTCCTGATGGGTGCCAAGTCAGCTCTGGTAGAAGTTTTCCCTCTAATGATTGGTCGGGACCTGAGCTCTAAGTGTGTGATGTCTCTCTGTGATGTCATTTTCAGTCGACAGCAAATGGATGGACAAAAACGGGGGGATTTTACTGCTTGACTCATATTCCACACAGGCAATATTAATCAGAATGCTTCATGAATCACTCTTTTTAATTTTCTCTGTTGGTTGAGACAAAATGTTGCCCAATCATCATCCTCATCATCATTATTATTATTATTAATATTATTATTATTATTATTATTATTATTATTCATCATTATTATTATTATTAATATTATTATTATTATTATTATTATTATTATTATTATTATTATTATTATTATTATTATTATTTTAGTGGTTACTTTTGTCATCATCACATCAACATCATTATTATTCAAATTCTTTTGTTCGTTTTTAAGCTTCTTGTCTGTCCTGCTAATGCTGGTGCCAACACTAGTAGCTCCTTCACTTCTCTTGACTGTGACCTCTTCACACCACATCCTTCCATCCACTCCCAGGGCCTTCCTCCAGACCATTCATGCCTTATAAGGTCTTGTCTTCCTGCCAGCATGCCTCACCTCCTTCCTTAGGTCTGTGTGTGCGTGTGTGAGTGTGTGTGTGTGTGTGTGTGTGTGTGTGTGTGTGTGTGTGTGTGTGTGTGTGCGTGTGCACATACGTGATATTATTTAGATTCATGTGAAGGGAAGCTGCTGAAACAACAGAGAACACACACACACACACACACACACACACACACACACACACACACACACGCACACACACACACACACACACATAAAACTTGATGAGTGACAGCAGCATATGTTGACGTATCAGTTTCCCAGTGTGATGACATTAAATCAACAGCCAGCTTACGGTAACATAGCAGCTAGCATAGCAGCTAATTTAGACAACACCACGACACAGCAACAAAACACGCAACAACAAGAACACCACAACCATGACGCATGTACAGTAGACTTGACCTGTACTTTAGAATAGCGATTCAAAACGTGTGCGTTTAGTAGCACTTGTGCTACGTGGGCTTCATCTAGTGGTAGGCAAAAGATCACTCCCTAAAACAGTTTTGTATTTAGTATTTAACCTTTTAGTACAGTTGCTGCACATTTTAAGTATGCATTTGGGAAAATATATAGAAGCATTTGATGTACGATTTAATGGAATAATTAGTTTTGTTGCTCATATTTATTTAAGCACAGTGTTAATGTTCAAACAGTGTTACAGTGGCTGCCAAGAACAATGAAACAAACCAACAAGCTCGTTTTTTGAGGAACACCTGCGCTGGACCAACTATGTGACTGTTTTCTATTATTTGTCATTATGGTGGTACGTGAAGAGCGAAATATACTGTCAGATGGTACGCCTTGTGAAAAAGTTTGAGAAGCATTGCTCGGGACTAGATGGCACAAACGTCACAGTAGAAACCGCACAAGTTGATCCACTGTTGCGAGAGTTTTGATTCGGTTGCCATGACAACACAAGTCGCATCCTTTTCCGTTTGCGGTCCACGTGATGGAAGCCTGGCACGAGACAAGGCTGCCCTCTGCAGGATGCATGGTGAACTAACTTGTCCATTGTTATTATTTAGCCATACATCAGTTATGGATTTATTTTGAATGAATGTAACTTCAATTATGTTACAAACCCTCCTTATCTTATAAACCACTTAATGTTCAAAATTATTGGCGCGTTTGGAGGCTGAGCGTCGGTCACCATGGTTACACAAGACCGGAAGTAAGGCCGTGTGTGGTCTGCGGTCGTTAGCATGCTAACGGCCGCTTGCTCGCATCTCTCTTTTGACGGGCGCTTTCTGATGGTCCAAAGTCGTCCAACACGCGCGGGAGGAGACGTGAGTACGTACTTTTTCAGCCAGAACAACAACAACAACAACGGCACGTACGATGACGTCAATGTAGCGTCGGTGACGTAATGACGGCGAGATGCTATTAGCACTTCCGAACAGGAATTGTTGAAGTGATCACAAACAAATCGCAAAATGTCGATCCGCAATAGAGGAAGTGTGTCGTTGTATTGCGTGTCATGTGCAATGTTAATCGAAATATTAATAGTGTTACATTTTTGTGCAACCATGCAAAATGCTCAGCATCAGACACACAACATCGAAATGAACGAAACGTTGCTGCAAGTCATGATCCTATCCTGAAATATGGATCATGTAGCACCTTAACTCACATGAATCTGCCGTACTATATACATGCTGAACATTTCAGGCAGTCTAATATCAGCGCCAATCACTTGTGATAATTGATGACCAAGTCCACACGAGAAGTCCAACTAATCAACTGGAATGATAATTAACTAAGTCGCTTCCAAATCTTGTCTCAATAACTCACGGAATAGCAACTTGAATGCAAATGTGTACGTGTCACACATTTATATTTTTGTGCTACTATGAATATAATTGTGATCGTGAGCAGTCAAAGATGAGCGCTGATGATGTCACCAAGGGCGTGGCCTGCACACTGAAGCCGCCGGTGTTCCTTCACTTTGGAGGCGGTGACAGCAAAACGCAGGGATGCTGCTCGGGTGTGTGCGTGATCGATGTCGCCCTGCCCCCTGGGAAAACCGTCAACGTAAGTCTGACTATAATGTCACATGGAGATTAATGTTAACAGTTGATGATGTCATCAGGTTGAGATGAACAACGTGTCGTTGTCATCCACTGACGTCCAAAAAAATAACCTGGTAGCTTCACTTCTTGCTACAGCGAGTACGTGGCATTACGCGTCCAGGTTTTTTTTAGACCTCTGTGATCTTATCAGATTGAGACCAATGCGATATCATCAGACTGATAACGTAGATGATGTCATCAGATTGAGACGATCACCTTTAAGAATTTCTACACGGCACTGGTCAGCGTGAGGCTGCAGAGGCGGAGCCCCGGCCAGGAGGGGGCGGCGGCTAAATGGTGCACAGCCCTCCGGGACCGCCCCCTCATGACCAACCCGCACACGGAGGCGGGTGCGCAGGACTACTACAGCATTGACAGGAAGCAAGTGAGCACGCATGCCATATTTGTGTCGACCTGTTCCATCAGTCGGTGCCGGTGACGCATCGCCGTGGTGTTGCCTTTGCGTTCAGATGCAGGTGGAGCCGGATGGTGTGTCGTCCATCC